AAAGTTAAAATAATCAAGACAGTGTGATATTGGTGTAAAGACATACATCAATGTAAATTTGTATATATATATAAAGATATACATCAAAGGAACAGAATAGAGTCCAGAAATAGACTCACATATGTATAGCCAATTGATTTTTAACAAGGATGCCAAGGCAATTCCACAGGGAAAGAATAATCTTTTAAACAAATGGTGCTAGGACAGTTGGATAGCCATGTGCAAAAATATGAACCGCAACTCAGTACCCCACACCACTGGATTATAGGGCTAAATGTAAGAGCTAACACCAGAAAAATTCTAAAAGAAAACACAAGAGAAAATCTTAATGTCCTTGGGTTAATCCAAAAGACAACCCAAATGTTCATCAACATGAAAATGGAGAAACAAATGTGGTGTATTCATACAGTACTATTATTAAAATACTGTTTAGCAATGAAAAGGAACAAACTATTGATACACTCATCAAAATAGATGAATCTCAAAATCATTATACTGAGTGAAAGATGCCAGACCAAAAGAGTACATACTGTATCCGTCCATTTATATAAGCTTTTAGGAAAAGCAAACTGACTCACAGTCACTTAGTGGACCCGTGGTTGCCTGGGTGGAGGGGGTGGAGGGCAAGGAGAGGTAGGAGGAAAAGGATTTCAAAGAGCAATGAGGTAGAAATGTTTGCTGTATTGATTGTGGCCATAGTTTCATGGAGATACAAATATGTCAAATCTTATCAAATAGTATTCTTTAAATATGTGCAGTTACTGGTAAGTCAGTTACACCACAATAAGCCTGTTTTTAAAAAGTACAAAGAACAGTCTGTAGTATAGTGCAGTTTAAATCCATGGAGAAGTGTACCAGTCAGGGCCATTAACACTAGATGTTGTAACAAGAAACCTGGTATCTCAGCAGCTTAACACCACAAAAGTTTCTGTTTTGCTTATGTTACAATGTCACCTGGGTCATACAGCTCCTGGCAGCTCGCAGCCAGCAGTGACTCCAGGACCTTGGCTCCTTCTGTCTTATAGCCTTGCTGACTTCAAGATGCTGTCTCTCTTCTTACCAAGGATAAGAAGAAAGAGCAGAGATGAGCATGACCAGACCTACAAGGAGGTGCCCATCACATGTGCCCACATCCCTGAGGCCAAAACCGAGTTACACAGCAGGCAAATAGAGTTTTCTCCCTGCTCGGAAGAAGGAGCAGTGCTTTCATCGACACAGCTTGCCAGCTTCTGCCAGAAGAAAAAGAAATATCAGAGTAGTTGTGCACGCAATAATGGGTATTACAAGAGCATATTGAATTTCGGAGCCAAAATACTTGCATTCAGATCCCTTCAGTTTTCTCCCAGAATGAAAGGGTATCTATTTGCTCTATGTTTCTGAACTGCTTTAAAGCACCTATTCCAGGAGTTCTCATAAAGGAACAGTTTCTGCACCTAGAGAGAACCCAAGGCTCTCAGCTCCTAGGAGACAGAAAATTGGTATAGTTTTCAAATCGCTCCCACAGCCTCCCCCACTCCTTTTCTACTTCTGCCCGCAAAGTATGCAGCTTGTGCCCTCCGCCATCTGCAACAGCAACGACAGCGCGGCTAGCTGGATGTTAGAGCCACCAAGAAATGTGCTCAGGGTCTTTTGTGCAATGCAGCCGGATAAAGGGATTCCTTGCCTAAGCAGTCAGTTAGCCTCACTGTATGACCATTTGGACAGGCAGTGGCAGTGACAAGATGTGGATTCAAGGGCGTATACCACCAGTCATGTGACCCTGACAAGGTCACTCCCTCTTTCCTCACTTAGCTTCTGGGACAGCCCACTCTCCAGGTCCTCCCTCCCTCCCTGCTGTCCTCCTCCTCCTAACCTCTGAATGGTAGTTTGCTCCCAGGGCCCTCTCCTGGAGTGCCATCTCATGCATGATCCCAGGGATTTTGAAAAGCTATAGAATATGCTCTACTTTTGTAGAATCAGCTCTCCAGCCGCCCCCCACACCCCCCACCTTAATAGTTTTGGACACTCAGATAAAATTTCTCCTCCCTCCCTCCCTTCCTTTTTTGTCAAATTATGTGGATAACTTCTCCCTCTACAAGTTGTCATTAGGTTCCAGAAATGGCAGTTCATTGCTGCTTTTTTCCTCTTAACTTGCTTGGAAAAAGGCAAAAAAGACCCTTTCACTGTTATCAGTGAGAAATGCTTTGTTGCCCTTGAGAATCAACTGAAACTGACCCTTTCAGGAAAGAGTCCATGAAATGCAAGAGGGAAAAACAATGAATTCACAGAAGAGCTTGCTCCCACCCACTTGGAACATAGTCCCCTTAGCCAACCTGTTTGATCAGCTGGGGAAAAGGCACCCTCATTTACGTAACCTCCTGGCCCTTTGTGTTTCAAGATGGCACCAGTCCAGAGAAGCAGTTTCCATATGAATGAAGGAGGATAAAGGCCCACCAGTGCCCATCACACCCCACAGGCTATGGCTTCTCTAGATTGTCCAGGAATTTGTTTTTTCCGTACAGCTTTGCAAAGTGATCTGGTATTTGCAAACGTGTGCATCCTTTCACAATTCAGTGAGCAAATACTGTATTAATTTAGGAAATAGTTATGAATCACTTGTGTGCCAACTGCATATAAACTCTCTCACTGGCTGCTTCAGGGATTAGCGATACAGCCCCATCTTGGAGAAGCAGACAGTCAAGTGAGAAACACCTAAACATTAAATCATGTTCTTAATAGACTGAGCACACCAGGAACGGAGGTACTGTCTTTCGTCTGTGTCTTCTGCATCACCTAAGTATCATGTTGAGGACATGAACAGGGGATCAAATCCATAGTTCTCCCAGTGAATTTCCATGATTAAAACCAACAATGATTACCAGCCAAACTTCAGAGGAAGCCAGAGTTCCCTTCTGTCACTGTCAGGGGCCATATGACAGCCACAACATCTTACATGGTAGGAAGTGATGACAGACGAGAGGCTGAGAAGAATACTTCATGTGGTTCAAATCAAAAGGACATTTGAGTAGAGAGAAAGGATAAATCAGCACTGAAATTAGCCTCCACACCAGAGACATTGCTTATTAGGGAAAGAATGTTTCACATCTGAAAGAAACACACACACAGGTGGCTAGAAGGTTTGAATACTCATCGCAAAATTGTTTTTGTATTGAATTCACACCCTTAATGGTTTCCGCTCAAAACTGGAGCGCATCAAATACACAGGTGTCAACTCACTTACGGTTCTCAGAGCTGGGACTGGACCACAGAGAAGGAAATAAAAGGCCTCCTGAGGCAATTGCCATCTCCTCTGCATTTAGAATCTGGCTCCAAACCTTGTCCACATTTACTTATTGTCTCTGTACTTGTATCTGCTCTAAGTAAGAATGCAAGCTCCCGGCTGGGTTAAACCCAAATTAGCATAGCACTGTCCCTAAGACTACAAATGTGTAAAGAGGAATGACCACTGTTCTCACACTATAATTTCAAATTTCAAATGGCAATTCCTCTATTACATAGTTTTTGATAGTGAAAGTGTTTTGTTTTTGTTTTTAGGTAAGATGGAAAAAACACTCAGCTGCTCAGTGAGGCAGAGATAAAATATTCTGCAAAAACAGCACTGATGGAATAGGCAGAACCCCTGGGCCATCAATTTATGAACACACAGCTTGTGGTACAAGACAGGTGTATTGTTGCAGATTGGTGGTCCAGAAAAGGATTTTATTTTATTTAAAAAAAAATTAACAATAAACGCTTCATGGCAAACCATTTTTATGGTAAGTGACTAAAGGGAATGAAAAGCCTATGGAGTCGAGTCAAATCCTGGTGCTCCCTGGGGCTTTCACTAGCTTTCTCCTGCAGCTCCTGGGCACGTTTTTTTCTTTTCCACTTACATTTTATAACAGAGGTCTCGGTTTTCTGGTCGTACTTGTGAGATTTGTTAATCAAATGAATCGAGTACTACCTGGGGTATCTAGTGCATCTACGACAGCGTGGCCTCTGGAGACGTTCTGTCAGGGGCAGCAAGTCTCCCTAGTTTGGGTATTTTTTTCTCGTTGAAAACTCTGTGCTTAACATTTCGTTTTGTTCATCTTAGTCCTGAGAAACCACAGTCGTTGAGAGGGAACCAACAGCATCTGGGAACAGGGGGTTGCACTCATTAACCTTCTCCCCCGGTTTAAGTACAACAGTGCAAGTACAAGTGGAAAAGTCAGGGTTGTCCGGTATGCAAAGCCACCCTGTGACCCCACCTACTGCCATGGAAATGCACCGATGGATGAGTGTGAGTGTGTGGATGTGGCAGGTGAGATGTGAGTTTGTGTGAATGGGTTTGTGAAGGTGGATGAATTTGCATGAATGTGTATTTGTATGTAAGTGCTTGTATACAAGTATGTGTATGTTTGTGTAAATTTTTTTGAATGAATGTGTTTGCTTCTGTATGTTCATTGTGTGTTTGGGGATGATTTTTTTGTGTGTCAGTGTGTGTATTACTGTGAATGTATGAGTATAAATGTGTATGTGTGTGTATTTATGTGTAATTGGCATGAGTGTGTATGTTGAGTGTATGTGTCTAGTGTGTGTGAGTTTGGGTGACTGTGTGTATGAGTGTATCGTTTGTGTCTGTTAATGTGTGTAGGTGAACGTATAAGTGTGTGCACGTGTGTAGTTGCCTACGTGTGTAATTGTATATGACTTTGTATTTTTGTGAGAAGTACTCATGTGGCTGTATTTGTACATGAGTGCAAATTTTGTGTGTATAAGTATTGTGTGTATGGGTACTCTTGTGTGTATGCGTGTGAACGTCGTGGGAGTGTGTACTTGTGAAAATGCGAGCACTGTGTGGCGACTGTGCGCGCTGGGTCAGCGTGCATTTGTGTGCATGTGAGTATATATATTGGTCTGTGCGCGCGGGCGCGCGTGTGAGCCGGTGAGCGCTGCCGCCGCGCGCCTGCCCCTCCCGGCTTCCCGCCCATCGCGGCGCGGGAGCAGGGGCGGCAGGCGGCCGGCCGGCGGGCGAGGGTGGCACGCGCGCGCCGGGGTGAGCCGACTGCGCCGCCGTCACCGGCGCCGCGCCGACTTTGCCCTTTAAATCGGTCTCCAAGCCGATTACAGCTGATCTCCCACGTGACGTTTTACCTTCTGTCTCCCGGAGCGAGTTGCCCGAGGGGCAGTCCTCCTCGGGCTGCCGCGCGCCGCGCCGCCCCAGCCCGCCGCGGGCTCCGGCTCCCGCAACTTCGGGCGAAGCAGCGGCGGGGCGGGGCGCCCTCTCGGGGCCACTTTCCACGCGGGCGTCGGGGGCTCCCCGGGCTTCGCTCGGCCGGGAGGGCGGCGGTCGCGGCCAGAACGTGGCCGGGCCGCAGCCAAGCGCCCCCTCGGACCCGCGCGGCGCCGCGCCCCGAAGGCCGGCGGGGTGCCCTGCGCGCTGCGTCAGACAAGGGGGCGCCCTTCGCCAGCCGGGACCGAGCGGGCGCGCCCTGGGGCGAGCCGGCCTGGAGATGGCTGCGAGGCACGGGTGAGCCCCCCGCGCCCTCACCATGCAGAAGAGCGTGCGCTACAACGAGGGGCACGCCCTGTACCTGGCCTTCCTGGCCCGCAAGGAGGGCACCAAACGCGGCTTCCTGAGCAAGAAGGCAGCCGACGCGAGTCGCTGGCACGAGAAGTGGTTCGCGCTCTACCAGAATGTGCTCTTCTACTTCGAGGGCGAGCAGAGCGGCCGCCCGGCGGGCATGTACCTCCTGGAGGGCTGCAGCTGCGAGCGGGCGCCCGCGCCGCCCAGGGCCGGGGTCGGGCAAGGCGGCGCCCGGGACGCGCTGGACAAGCAGGTACCGTGCGCCCTCCTTCTCGGTCTCCCTCCCTGCGGCCGCGGCACACTCCCTCTTCTTCTAACCCTCGAGGTCTAGGGCTCGACCGGACGCGGGAACCGCACTGCGAGATCCAAGGTTCCCCCGCGGTGTCAGGGGCAGGACATCTCCACGCGCCGCCGCGTCTCCATCCTCCCCCCTCCCTCATCTCCATGTAATCACTTGGAGCCGAGGCTCCGCTTTCTTTCTTTCGCGACCCTGAAAGCGGTCGGGTCTTTTCAGCTTCATTGCGAACCATCCAGTTCTTATCTAGACCTAGTTCGGAAGGATTTAGTGTGGTGACGTGTGTTGACACCTGTTGGGTTTAGATTGGCACGACGGGACTAACTTATTTGGAAAAGTTTGGTTTCTCCCTTACCCGGCTGGTGCGTGTGTGGGGTTTTTTAATTCTGCGTGCACATGTTTGATCGCTGGCTGTGCAAGGAATAAGCGGGGGCTCCCAGGAAGGACAGGCACTTTCTGTTGGCGATTTTCAGTGTTTTGTGGTTTATGTCGGTTTACCTTGTTCACATTTGACCTGCTGGGTCTAATTATGGAGGTAAATATGTATGCATTTCCCTCAGGATTAGTCCTTGGTAGCCGCATTCCTGCTATGTTTAAACCTGTGGGCATTTTTAAAGAACGCTTCTCTGTACTTTTAAATGAATGCTTTGAAAATAAATGTGACCTTTTTATCCTGGATCATAATTTTATTAGTTTTGCTGTGTATGCATTCGGGGAGGAAAAAACAAACCCTCTAGATTTAGTAACTTCTGCCCCCCCCCATTCCTGCAAATGCGAAATTTATATTTTTTTCCAATCACCGTTGGGTTATTAAAGTTAGAGCAGACTCATTTTATGTTCCCAAATGTTCTCATTTCGCTTCTAGATCTCCACCTTGAAGAAAAGAGGCTGATTGTATTTGCTGTAGCATAAAATGTTTCGCAGCTGAATTTCCCCCGCAAGTCAGACCAAACAGCTTCTCTTGCAAGAGCGTGGCTGTGGGAGGCGCTAGCGATAGGATGATGAATAAGATGCCTACATAACCCCTGGGGCTCATAAAACAATGTGTAAAATTAAGAGGAGTTCAAACTAGATCAACCAGAAGTTTTGTTTTGTTTTGTTTTTTTCCACTTTGGTTTCACTATAAATCATTAACAGACTTAATTGATTAAACTTGTTATATTGCACATAAATCTGATAATTTAAAAAATACACCCTTTGGTTTTTGAGGGCATGTTGAGGGTTATTTGAAAAACTGATTTTCAATTTTGTAGATATAGATACTGAAAATATAAGTTTAAATTTCAAGTCATGCATTTTAAAATTTAAGAGCACGAAAAGGGTGTTGAGGAAGCAGATTTTTTTCAGTATCTATTTTTTTTTCTATTGGTGAGGTTGTTTTTTTTAAAGGTATGTGTTCCAAGGCCCCCCAGGAGCCAAAACTAATAAGTTCTTAAGTGTTATTATGTGTAAAAGCAAATAGGTTCTTTAAATTACCCTGGATATATATCATTGACTTAATCCCAAATTATTTTTTCTATTTATACTAATATCAGGAGATAACCTTTTCTTTCTTCCTCCCTCCCTCCCTCCCTCCCTCCCTCCCTCCCTCCCTCCCTCCCTTCCTTCCTTCCTTCCTTCCTTCCTTCCTTCCTTCCTTCCTTCCTTCCTTCCTTCCTTCCTTCCTTAGCTGGGGGTGTGAAGATGTTAGTTACTTGCTGCAACCTACCTAGCTGTCTGACCAGTTAACATGAAAACCTACATTTTTCTACTTGGAAGTTATCTGGGCTCTCCTTTTCAGGACAGTTTTCTTTACATCACACTTTAAGACATAAATGTAGCCCTCCAATAGTGTGACTTTTATGCCACTTTCTAATGGAAGTCCTAAACAGGTCATCCTAGGGGAAAAAAAAAATTTTGTTTGCCATACAGGTTATGAGTATTTCTCACTCATTTGGTACATCTTTAAGAGGATAGAAATTGGAAGCTTTGGTGTACGTAGAAAAACTGAGATATAAAGAATAAGCATTTCAAAATGGATTAGGAATTGGATTGGGAAATCTGTCAAATTTTGTTTTCTGTTAGGCATGCTTCTGTGACTTAGGTTAGTTTAGCGGATTGATGCTCTTCTCTAGCCTGCCTGTCTGGATGTGTCTGAAGAATTAAGAAAAAACTGCAAAGATAAGAAACAAGAAGCAGCTTCTACCTTAAACCTATAGTTTATGCAGTTGGTTCCCTTTCAGTTCATTTGTGTTCCTATGTGCTCACATTTTCTCAAGTACTTAGACTTGAAACTGGCAAAGTTGAGGCACTGAGCAGGGACCATCTTAAGGTCTGTTCCTCCAAATGTGCTCCTGGAGCTTTCTGAGTAAGTTTTTCTCTCAACCCTGTAAACACAGTTGAAGGTTAGGGCTTGAAACAGGATTTAGGGAGGCAGAGTGGGTTTCCTCCACCATGTTGCTGTGACTTAAGTACACAAATCTCTTAACAGTCTCTCTATTTTTTCTGTGAATGAAATCCATTTCTTAATATTTAAAAATTAAGAGTTTGGCTGAGAAGGTTTCAAGTTGCCTCCCAATAATGACATCTCCTGTTTCTAATGTTGTAACAGCAGTGTGAGCTTTTGCTGTGTAGAGAATGTGACAGACTGTTTCACAAGATTTAAAGTTTACCAGTCTCTGTAATAACTACTGAATCTGAGAAGCTAAACACAAGCAGGTGATCAAAGTGGACATTCTAATAAATCAGTTAGGTTAGCAGATGTGCAAACCAATAGGAACATCATTGCTAGAGGAGGAGACATTCTTATTTACACTGGAGTGTGATGTAATGCTGTTGACAGTTATAGTTAATGTAATTTTTGCTCTAAAATGCCTCTAATCATTCTTGTCAGTTTAAATGCTACTTATCCTTCAAATAATTCTTAAATTCTGATTGTGTTTTTCATAAGTTATATAATAAGAGGAAAACACTCATTGGTTTGTTTCTTCTAAATAATTCGAAGTAAGTTGGTTGACAAAAGAAAAATTAAGTTTTTTTTTTTTAAACCACTGTTAAAGTGGTTTTTAAAAACTGTTTCCAGTTAAGAAAAAAGAAAGGTGTTTTTCACTTTCCAAGTGTGCCTGGGTTAAAGGAATATTTGCATTGCTCCATTTTTTCAAGAATGTCCCAAGGATTTCACTTTGGTAAGTCCTTGGTTCATGGCAAGGCTCTCAGATCAAGTTTCCATAGTGGCTACTTTTTGGGTACTTTTAGTTATGGTGATAGAATCAAAATGAGTTCCGCTAAAAAATTTTCAAGTAGTGTTCCTTTTCTTGAACCTGTGTGTTGGTGGTACTTTCTAAAGAAATCTACGTTTATGTGAAATGAAAAACTTACTTTGCATTCTAGGTAAAAGTGTTCAAGGGGAATGGGAATTTGGGTTTAATAAGTACATTCTGTGTGCCAGGCTCTGTGTAATCCTCCATTATCACATCTAATTTGAACTTCCCTTCAGCTCTTAGAAATTGCTAGTACTTTTTTCATTTATACCTATGCTAACACTGAGACTGAAAGCGTTCTAGGGAGATGGAGATGATCAAAGACCAACTCCAGGTATGAAGATTGAATAACGTTGACGAGTGCCTTAGGAAGGATCTACTTAAGTTGATTGAGCTTCAAGAAATTTAAAATCTGAGGGGCGCCTGGGTGGCTCAGTCAGTTAAGGTCCTGGGATTGAGCCCCGCATCGGGCTCCCTGCTCAGCGGGGAGTCTGCTTCTTCCTCTCCTTCTGCCTCTCCCCCCACTAGTGTGCGCGCGTGCTCTGTCAAATAAATAACTAAAATCTTAAAAAAAAAAGAAATTTAAAAATCTGAGTGGGATGGGGGTTGGGATTGTATGTGAATCACTATTTTGTTTATTCTTGTTTCCCTTTAAAAACTATTTATAGGGCAGTTGTAATTCTTGAGAAACATAATTGCAGACCATTGCATTTTTAAAGAAAAATGAGACTTATGTTTAAACAAACAATTTTACATAACATTCATCTCCTTCAGTAGGGGATCTTTAAAAATATTTGTACTTAGGTGAAAGTACACATTGGTTAGTCTAGTCCATTTAAGTGACTGAATGTGTCTTCCCTGCTAGCAGGAGAGACATATAGGAACAAAGCCGTATTTATTCTTATTTTCCTGGTAATGGTAAATGTTCTGTTCACTCTGATTTCAGTCATTTTTGGGGTCAAACATCTTAGTTCTGGAGGCTTAAAGTAGTAGATACGGGTCATATTTGTGCTGAATTAAACATGTTGATTTAATTTTAAAGGGATTAAAGGTTATGTGATTTCCCCTGTCACCTCGTTACCAGCCAGTCATTTTAGCCTTCCTAATGACCACAAGTGGAGGGTTTTAATAGTTTTATGGAATTAGGCAGAGCTGTATGCAAGCCCTGGAATACTTGTGGAGGGTGGAGAGTGTGGATGGTGGATGTTCAGTCTCATTTATGTTGTTTAATTAATATATAATAACCAGCTCAATATTTCCTCTTCAACTTTTGCTTATTGAACATAAGTGAAGGGAAAATGGAATAAAAATATTTACTAAATCTTATAAAAAGTTTTAAAATATAATCTAAGGAAGAGAAATGATTTATTATTGGAACTTTGTAATCATTCTTTCAAACTTAAATGAAAAATAATTTATGGATTCGCAAAATGTAGTTATTTTAATTTTGGCTACACTAAACCTTACTATATATATTATTGTAACATAATTTTTTTCTTTGGGAATTAAACATATTTTAATATTTTCTTCTCACTGGGTGATGATAAGTTGTAAAGCGTGTGTGATGACCACAGGTTTCTGGTTTTAGCAAGCAAATGTTAATAGTTGGTTCAAACAATTGATATTGCTGTGTGTTTAATGCAGATTATATTTTTAAGTTGATTTTATCCATGTTTTTCAATAACTATGCGTGCTGCTGCCAATGTAGTTTTAATTTTG